AGTGTTAGATAATTTATTAAAGCTTTTTCTTATTTCTTGACATAGGCCTATAATGCTTCCCTCTCAGGATTGCTTTTGCTGTGTCCCATAGATTTTGTTTTTTTGCATGATCATTTTCATTTGTTTCCAGGAAGTTTTTAATTTCTTCCTTTAGTTCATTGGTAACTCATTAATTGTTTAATAACATACTATTTAGCCTCCATGTGTTTGAATGTTTTTGAGTTTTTTTATTGTGATTGATTTCTGAGTCATTCCTTTGTGATCTGAGAAGATGCTTGATATAATTTCAATCCTCTTGAACTTATAAAGACTTATTTTGTGTCTTAACATGTGGCTTGCCCTAACTGGTTTGGCTCAGTAGATAGAGTGTCAGCCTGTGGACTGAAAGGTCCTGGCTTTGATTCTGGTCAAGGGCATGCACCTTGGCTGTGGGCACATCCCCAGTAGGAGGTGTGCAGGAGGCAGCTGATCAATGTTTCTCTCTCATCGATGTTTCTAACTCTCTATCCCTCTCCCTTCCTCTCTGTAAAAAATCAATAAAATATATTTTTAAAAAACACCAAAAAACAAAAAACATGTGGCTTATCTTTGAGAGTGTTCCATGTACACTTGAGAAGAATGTATATTCTGCAGCTTTGGGGTGGAATGTTATGTAAATGTCCATTAGATCCATCTGATCTAGTGTACTATTTAAGGTCTCTATTTCCTTGTTAATTTTTTTCTGGAAGGTCTATCCAGTGATGTCACTGGGTGTTAAAGTCCCTTACTATGATTGTATTCCTTTCAATCTCTCCCTAAAATTTCTTCAAGAGCTTTTTAAAATATATTTAGGTTCTCCTATATTGGGTGCATATGTGTTTACCAGGTTATATCCTCTTGCTGTATCAGTCCCTTTAGTATTATCTAGTTGCCTTTTTTGTCTCTTTGTTATGTCCTTCGCTTTTAAGTCTACTTTATCACATATAAGTATTACTACCCTTGCTTTATTTTTTCATTTTCCTTTGTATGGAAATTTTTTTCCATACCTTCACTTTCAGTCTGCGTGAATCTTTTGTTCTGAGATGGGTCTCTTGTAGACAGCAGATATATGGGACATGTTTTCTTATCCATTCAGCTACTATATGTTTTTTCTTTATTTTGGGAGCTATGGGGGGGAAAAAAGAGGAACAACTGTAATAATCTGAGCAATAAAGATTTAATTTCAAAAAAGTCACAATTGAAAAATAAATATGAATTTAAAATAGATTCTATTTGTTATTACTGCAAGTATATTTCATCTTTATCTTTCCATATTGGGCCTCAAATCTCTCCCCATCTTACAAAAAAATAAAAATAAATAAATAAATAAATAAATATATTTTATTGATTTTTTACAGAGAGGAAGGGAGAGGGATAGAGAGTTAGAAACATCGATCAGCTGTCTCCTGAACACCCCCTACTGGGGATGTGCCTGCAACCAAGGTACATGCCCTTGCCCAGAATCGAACCTGGGACCTTCAGTCCACAGGCCGACGCTCTATCTACTGAGCCAAACTGGTTAGGGCTACTATATGTCTTTTGATTGGAGCATTTAATCAATTTATATTTTTATTGATAGGTACTTATTTACTAGCATTCTTTTTTCTTTATACCTATGTTTGTCTCTCTTAATTTCTTCTTCTTTAAGCACACCCTTTCACATTTCCTAAAATGCTGGTTTGTTAATAATGTACCCCTTTAGCCTTTTTGTGTCTTGGAAGCTTTTTATTTCCTCTTCAATTTTAAATGATAGCTTTGCTGGATAGAGAAGTCCTGGCTTCAGGTCCTTGTTTTTCATTACTTTGAATACTTCATATCAATCCCTTCTGGCATGAATTGTTTCTGCTGAGAAATCAGCTGACATTCTAATGGGTACTCCCTTGTAGGTAACTTTCCGTCTCTTTCTTACTGCCTTTAAGATTCTTTAATGTTTGCTCTTTTGATTGTGTCTTGGAGTGGGTCTCTTTAGATTCATCTTGAATGGAACTCCCTGTGCTTTCTGAGCTTGTGTGACTTTTTTCTTCACCAGGTTAAGGAAGTTTTCTCTCATTATTTGTTTAAACAGGTTCTCTATTCCTTGTTCACTTTCTTCTCCTTATGGCATGTGGACTTTGTTACGTTTCATATTGTCCCAAAGTTCCCTTAAACTATTCTCCTGCTTTTTAATTCTTTTTTCTCTTTGCTGCTCTAATTGCATGTTTTTTCTACCTTGTCTTCCAAGTCACTGATTCAGTCTCCTGCCTCATTTAATCTACTTTTGATTTCTTCAAGTCTATTCTTGATGTCAGATATGTTATTCTTCATTTCTGACTGATTAATAAATAAATAAATAAATAAATATATTTTATTGATTTTTTACAGAGAGGAAGGGAGAGGGATAGAGAGTTAGAAACATCGATCAGCTGTCTCCTGAACACCCCCTACTGGGGATGTGCCTGCAACCAAGGTACATGCCCTTGCCCAGAATCGAACCTGGGACCTTCAGTCCACAGGCCGACGCTCTATCTACTGAGCCAAACTGGTTAGGGCTACTATATGTCTTTTGATTGGAGCATTTAATCAATTTATATTTTTATTGATAGGTACTTATTTACTAGCATTCTTTTTTCTTTATACCTATGTTTGTCTCTCTTAATTTCTTCTTCTTTAAGCACACCCTTTCACATTTCCTAAAATGCTGGTTTGTTAATAATGTACCCCTTTAGCCTTTTTGTGTCTTGGAAGCTTTTTATTTCCTCTTCAATTTTAAATGATAGCTTTGCTGGATAGAGAAGTCCTGGCTTCAGGTCCTTGTTTTTCATTACTTTGAATACTTCATATCAATCCCTTCTGGCATGAATTGTTTCTGCTGAGAAATCAGCTGACATTCTAATGGGTACTCCCTTGTAGGTAACTTTCCGTCTCTTTCTTACTGCCTTTAAGATTCTTTAATGTTTGCTCTTTTGATTGTGTCTTGGAGTGGGTCTCTTTAGATTCATCTTGAATGGAACTCCCTGTGCTTTCTGAGCTTGTGTGACTTTTTTCTTCACCAGGTTAAGGAAGTTTTCTCTCATTATTTGTTTAAACAGGTTCTCTATTCCTTGTTCACTTTCTTCTCCTTATGGCATGTGGACTTTGTTACGTTTCATATTGTCCCAAAGTTCCCTTAAACTATTCTCCTGCTTTTTAATTCTTTTTTCTCTTTGCTGCTCTAATTGCATGTTTTTTCTACCTTGTCTTCCAAGTCACTGATTCAGTCTCCTGCCTCATTTAATCTACTTTTGATTTCTTCAAGTCTATTCTTGATGTCAGATATGTTATTCTTCATTTCTGACTGATTCTTATTTATGGTTTCTATTTCTTGTTTCATGCTGTTACAATTCCCACTAAGTTTCTTGAAATTGTCACTAAATTCTTTGAGCACCATTACTTTGAACTCTATATCTGATAAGTTTTTTGCCTCTATTTCATTTAGCTCTTTCTAGAGTTTACTCCTTTTCTTTCACTTGGGGGTTGTTTCTTGGCCCCCCATTTTTACTGTCCCTTTGTATTTGTTTCTATGTATCAGATCAAATTGCTATCCCAGTCTTTGTGGGGTGGCCTTATGTTGTAAGTGTTTTGTGGGACCCAGTGGTGCAGTCTCTTAGATATTGTGAGCTGGTTGCTCTACAGATGTCCCTTGTGTGAGTTACTTGGGCTCTCCTATTCTAATAGGGTCATGAATGTCATTGTCCCATTCATTGGAGGAGTCTCCTCTCAGCCTGGCTGACTGTGAGGCTCATCCCCAACCATGTCGTGCAAGCTGTTGAGCAGGTGTAGTCTCCAAGTGTTTTCTGTCCTTCTTTAATATAAGTCTCTTCTCAGTTGGACCTCACTTGGTAATTCTGGGTGAATGTTCCTCAATTTAGTTGTATTTACAGTCTGGCCCTGGCAGGAGGTGCAAGAAAGGTCTGCCTATTTGGCCACCATCTTCTCTCTCTATAGTTAATTCTTAAATATTTTATTCTTTTCAATGTTATCATAATTGATAGTGTATAGAAATAAAACTGAGTTTTATGTGTTGATTTTATATTCTGCAACTTTGCTGAATTCATTTATTAGTTCTAATGGTGTGTGTGTGTGTGTGTGTGTGTGTGTGTGTGTGTAATCTTTACGGTTTTCTACATAATAGTATGTCATTTGCAAACAGACATATTTTACTTCTTTCTTTCCAATTTGGGTGCCTTTTATTTTTTGATTAATGTTACTACATTCTACCCTAGAAATGATGAGGATTTTTAATGAGAATAAGGAGGTAAGTACTGGTTGGATCTGGGAAATATTTTTCAGGTAGAGCAAATGAAATGGTTTGGCTTGAATGCTGGCTGTGAGAGAATGAGAGAAGTTAATTATGTTCAATTTGTAACAATGAAATTGGGGGTCACCACAACATGAGGAACTGTATTAAAGCGTCACGGCATTAGGAAGGTTGAGAACCACTGCACTAGGGGAAGGAAGATGAAGATGAAGAAAGAACCTTTGACATGAGCAATGAAGCAGTCTTTGGTAGTCTTCCATGAAGCATTTTTCAGCAGATTGGGTAAGGTCTTTGCCTGAGGGCAAGTAAGTTGATAAAGCAAGTGGGTGATGGAAAGTGCTCTAAAAAGATCTAAAGTGCTGTATACTTAAGGCTAAAATATTGATGTTACCGTTGTCGTGGAAACTAAAACCAGTTAGGAGAACTAAAAGCCATTTAAAACCACTGACTCCAGCCCATCACATCCCCTTGATCTGTTGTAAAAGATGCTGATAAAAATAGTCCTTAGAGAGTCAGAGCTCATCTAGGTTTCTTCTTTTAGATGTAGTTCCTAACTGGAAATCTTTCTCCTTTTTGAGAAGGAAGCCAGTGCCAACACCCATACCTAGTTTCTATGAAGGACAGATGGCCCACTGACTGAAAAGTTCCTTATTCTCTTGCTATTGGCTGACACTGTTCATAAAGTATAACTCACAGTTTCACTTTTCTTTTAAATGAGCAAGCTGAATTACTTGGAGGAGGAAAGCAGGAGAGACAGAAGAGACAAACGCTAAGTCACTTGAAAGAAAGAAACCTCAGGTGAGCATTTTTATCTTTGTTTTGTTTGTTGTTAAGACTTATACCTTGCTTGTCACTTTAGACATGGTCAGAAGAATTATTTTTGAACAATAAGTTACTTTTGTTTGACTATAAAATTGTTTCTTACCATATACATAGTTTAGAAAATATTAAGAAAGTCCAAAAATTGTAAGGAAGCAAATGCCACAGATGAAATAGCCTCCATTGATGTGTGTGTGTGTGTGTGTGTGTGTGTGTGTGTGTGTGTGTGGTATTAATTTTACATTCTTTTTCTTTTGTGTGTTTCTGTGTATAACTTTAGTTTGGTTTTCATAGTTGTGTTCAGATGGTATAGATATATTTATATTTATTTTTTCACATGGCCATAAATTCTTGATAGTCACAATTTAATATTGCTGGACAACATTACATTAAAAGGATTTATTGTACTTTACTATACCTTCATTTTGGGCTATATAGCATCTTTCCTATTTTTCATAAATGGGTCATTTTATTATGTAAGATGTATTTTTCCATTCAGAGTCTTATTTTTGGAGGGAGGAGGGAGGAGGTTAAATTTGAGATTGTAGATTTCATTGTTATTACTCAGAGGCACAATGACAGGGAAAGTGTATGTGAGAGCATATGTTTATAACCTGTTTATTACCCTTTTGGGGTCTCAATCAGTGGTTTTCTACTCTAGCTGCACATTCTACTCTAGCTGATCCTGAGGAGATTAGAAAATTACCCCTAGAAAAGGGGAAATTTAACTTTTGAAGGTAAGGCAGCCAGTCATTTTATAGTAGTTTCTTAGTTTTCTTTTTTCCTAAATGTTCCCAAGTTGTTTTAATGGCCAACACAATAACAACTGACCTAAGTAATTTGAAATATTTTCCTATCTCTGACACATACCTGGGAGTAATACAAAATCAAGGGAAAGAAAGGTAAAATTTCAGGCAAACCATCTAAATCTCCCTTTTAACACTGTATGAATAATGCAATAGTACTTTGTGGGAAATATAATACTTCTAGAAATTTCTGTCATCCACCTCAATCACATAAACTGTAGAGGTGAGAATCTTCTTGAGAGTTTCAATTTACTAATGCTTTAAAGAAATTGATTTGCTTCCAAGATATAGTGGTTAAAAGTTAGAGACATTGAGACTCCAGAATGTTCTAAATGTATCAAAATTTAGCCTAGGATCTGTTAATATTCTGCCTCCCTACCCACCTGGCATCCTAAGGTGTACCCCTATCATCTAAGTAGCACCTGGTCTGGAAGAAAGCTGCTATACTTTTGCAATGTGACTCCATTGGTGTGTGTCAGGATCATCTTGGACATTTAAAAAAATCTCGTGTGTATTCATTCCAGGCTCAGGAACTTCTGCTTCTTTAGTTTATCTTGTACACCAGACATCTGAGGTGTGCTAGTTCCCCAAGACTAAGCCTGGAAGACGAAAGTCTAACAGGGGCTCAGCTAGTGCAATTATCCAGTGAGCGCTGGATAAATGCAGTGTCCTAGCTGGATAACGCAGAGAAAGGCAAGCATTTGCCTGGGTTGCTCAGCTTTGCTATAAAGCCTTATCAGAGCCCCGTGAGAAAACGCAGCACTGTCTCTGTGCTTTTCTCTGGATATTACCCACTGTCTTCTTTGTATTGTAGTTACTTTCGTGAGGGTCTCATCCTTTTACCAAAGAATGCCCAAGGCTGGAGTTCTTGCAGAAAACCCAGTACATGGCTCCCTTAAGAATAAATGGGAAAGTGTAAATAAATTAATTCATGAATAAATGTGGACTTTAGTTAACAGCATATGTTTATCTCTGCTGAACCTATTAATCTCTTTGTATTAATTGACCCATGGAGAAAATAGTACCATCTTTGACAATATTTACAGGAAAACTTCTCCTATTGGATTGATAACTTGGTGAGAGTATGGGTTCACCCTTTTGACAAAGAAAGTAATGAGGTCCTGAGCAGTTGGAGCCAAAGAATCCCAAAGTTGGAAGGGTCTTTAGGAAAAGCCAGGGCCAGGCACGGAAGCTTTTTGTGTCTTCAGTGTTTTAAGGAGAAGTTTCAAAGAAGAGAGGAAGCAGATCTGAGGAAGAATAGAAGGAAGACAGGAGAGGGGGAGGACAAGGGAGGGGAAAACAGGCTAGGGAGGGACAGGAAGAGGAAAAGGGTGGAGAGAAGGAGAGGAAGGGAGGAGGGAGGAGAAAAGCCTATTTGTTTCTGGAAGTTTAAAGATTACTTACACTGGGAGAATTGAAAAGGACCCAGTCCACGGCTATTGTACATTATAATGTACTGTACATTATAAAAAGGATTTTTATAATGAGAAAAAAATATGTGTCGTGTAAGTGTCATCCTGTGAAACTATAGAGATGCCTTTTGCCTCATTTGCACCTCTAGTACAGAAAGCACAATTGTCTACAGAGTACTTGGAGGCATCATAGATTCCTTACGGTAAGTTGATTTCTTTTTATTTTGAGTTTACCTTAACAATAACTTTGGGGGGGGGGGGACAAAAAATACAAAAACAAAAATCAATAACTTTGTTTCCTTATAAATTCTCTGAGATGTTTGAAGGAGGCTTTCCTTGTTAGCAGAAGAGTAAGTAGTCAGATATTCATTTTGGAGAGGTCACTCTGGCCACCACGTAGAAAATGGGTTGAGAACAGTGAGAGTAGAAGCTGGGCGTGACAGACTGTGTTCTCTGTCGTCCGGGGGTGAGACCACACCGGGACTAGGAAAGCCCTGAGCTGGCCCCTGTGACAGAAGGACCTCACGGAGACAGGTGGGTAGTGATGCCAGGTCTGCCTCACAGGAGATACTGGGCAGCAGGATGGTCTGGGGGAGGAGAAAGCTGGCAGTTTGCTTTGTTCCTTGCCCTCTCCTCTATAGTTTCAGATGCCCACTGATCCCAGGCTACTGGCAGCTGCCTGGGGGCTTTTCCCAGGCAATTAATTCTCTGTTTTTCAAGTTTTCCAGACATATGGAAACATTCTCTCCTTAGCTGCTTGTTTCTTACTATCTTTACATGTATTTTATACCCAGAATTCTAAAAAGTTCTTAGGCATTTCTTTCCTGGAAAACATAGGGTTGCAACAGGAATGATAATGCATTGGATGTACATGATGTGCCAGGCTCGGTGCAGCTATGTAGGAGGCTTTCACCTGTGTTGCCTCCTCTGGGTCTCTCAGTAACAACAAGAGGATGAGTACTTGCTAATGCTCACACTGTTAGCAAGAGCCAGGATTTGGATCCTGTTAGGTTTTCATGATATCACAATACCTCTATATCATTCTAGGAAACATATGATGTTTAACAAGCTACCTTTGTAAATAATTCTTTTGCTCTAATAAATGAATTTAATGCCTAGGTAGGAGGGAAGGGAAAGAGAGGGGGTTTTAATTTGAATTAGTGGGCTTTTGGGAGCCCCTGAGTCATGTCATTTAGTCACTTTGATTGGGGAGGGTGGGGGGAATTTCCTTTTGCTGACACAATCCCTAGAAATTATTGGAAGGAGTTTGGCCTCTGAGATAATACCTGCTGATCTACTACCTTTCTTCTTCTGTCTTTGAAATTAGGAGACTTGGGAATCAAGATTCAAATGCAAATGATTCTGCAGCCTTACTTAGATCAGAAATTGGGTTAATAACAGATACCTCCAATCTTCCTTAATAAGGTAAGTTGCACTAATAAAGTGCACTAGAAAAATGACAAAAATTGGTTGAGATAGTTTTATAACATTAAATTCATAATCAGCATTATAGGCTCATACGTCCTATTAACAAAGAAGAGCTGAGGAAAGTTATGAAAGTCAGAGAGAAGACAGCACAATCAAAATAATGCTTAAAAAATGAAGTCATATCTTCAAGGAGCTCTTCTTATATGGTAAATCTTTTGTTTTTGGATATGCATTTGTTTATTGTGGTGACTGAGTGTTAATTGTTAGGATGAACATAGGAGTAAGGTAGCTTTTGGGAAATATTAGAGAATGAAACAAGGGGATTTAGCAAAGACAGAGGTGGGAAGGGATGTCAGAGACAGTGCCATTTATCTCCTCATAGAGGCAGAGAGAGCCTTCATGTGCTCAGATGCCAACCTTCAGCTCCTGCTATGTCCCTGGGGATAAGTTGTTCTCTGGGAGCATTTGTCCCCTCAAAATAACATAAAAAGAACCAAATTGTGTAAAAACTCCAATTTTAGGGGCTAATTATTCCCTATTATGTGTATAATCTGTTGGCATCTTTTTGCACAGGGAAATTTTCAAGTAAGGGACGTCAGAGGAGAATGTGCAAACTAACCAAACAAGCAAGCAGAGAGGGAAATTTTGTCAGAGAAGGATAGAAAAAAGACCAACTATTGCTAAACCATCAGTCCAACACTGATGCTTAAAGGATCTGGCAGTTTGGCCACACCAGAACTTTCTAAATTGTTACTTTTTACACATGCAGCTCTTTGACCTAATGGCAGCTCTGACAATACACATCTTCTGGAGTGCCTCTCCTTCTATCTGTCCATGTCTGTTTGTGATGGTGGATGTCATTTTACCACATGTTCTGTGGTCTAAGCAAAGTTCTCCTTTGAGTGGAAGAAGGTCATAGCTGATGTGCGCTGCATGTCCAGTCCTACCCCCAAACTGGGCAATATTTCAAGAAGGCCTAGCAGCCTTCAGCAGAGTCCAGGCACCAAGGCTCAGGTGGCTCCCATGGGTTCTCAGGAGTCAGGGACGGTGCTAGAAAAAGAGGGAGGCAGATGCAAGTTGAAGGGCGCCTATGGAAGGGCAGCTGGGAGAAATCACTGAAAAGTTGACAACTACAATGATTTCAAGAAAATGTTCTAGTTAGAAAACAATATCATAGGGCATATCTGGTCTTTAGAACTAAAATAGGAAATCAGGTTAATGAAATTCAGAAGTTATTGTAGGGAGTTCTGAACTTTCACTGAGCATTTTGGAACTTAGTCAGGAGGCAGGCCACAGACACCAACAAATCACCAACATCCCTCTTCCCGCTGGCTCCATCCTGGTTAATTCCTGAGAAATCTGAGGAGAGATGGTGAAGGAGTGTGTGTGTGTTGGGGGGGTAGGGGGGGGGGGGGGGGGGGGCGCAGTGTTGGAAAGTTTGCTTATAAAAGAAGCCAATTAGGTTAGGCCATTACAAGGGAGAAACTGCTCAGTGCACTCGGTCTCCCACAGGGATTCTCTGCCTGTTGTGACAATTGCTTGTGAACACCTTCCCACCCTGGCTGCAAGATCTCATGCAGGCCTTCCCCCATGGAAAACAGACAGCTTCCAAAGACTGTCTCTTAGGGGCTTCAGGTTACTTTAGGATCCCGTGGTAACACCGTGGGCAACACAGCACATTTTCTGTCTGCTAAGCTCCAGGGCAAGTCAGACACTATTTGTTTGGGTACTGGGAGGACAGGGCTTTATGAGCTTTACAACATCCAAATGTGGAGTCCTAACCAGAGGACAAATATTAGACAGTAAAACTGCAGAGACCCAAGAGGGGAAACGGCAGTCATCCTGCAGGGTGAATAATCAGGCCCCAGGGGTCTGGCTAAGAAGTCTCTCTGGGCCCCAGAATTGTTGAAGAGAAGCTCTGCAGGACAGAGAAAGTGGACTAAAGAATTCCCTTCTCAGGAAACTTCCAGAGCCATAACTATTAAACACCTACTGGCTTTCAGCAGTTCTCCAAATATCCCTTTTACTAATGGGCCCAAGGTGTTGATTTTACAGTTATGAGACCTGGGGAAACAAATGATATTGGGAAGGCAAAGGGACGTTAGCTTGGTGGTGCACTTCGGGGCATTTTGAGGAACTTTAAGGGAGATAGCATGGAAGACAATTGGAGCAGCAGAATGATCCAAGCAATCTGGGGCCTCTGGGATTTTGAGGTACAAACATGTAGAATCTTCCAATCCAGAGGGTTGTATCTTCTCTGTACAACTTCAGGGAGCTAAGTCTGGAAGCCTTTACAAAGAAATGAGAGCTGCAGTTTGGAAGAAAACTTGGGGCATTTTGAATTTGAAGCATTTATGAAACATGCAATGGAACTGTTTCTTGCAATCCAGAGGTGGGGAGGAAGAGCTGAGGGAGCCTGATTAATTTAGGGGCCTTGATGGTAACTGAAGCCAGAGAAGTTGATGAGTTTTTGCAAGGGCTTGAGAACAGAGACGGAAAGAGGATCAAGGACAGAACCTTGGAAAACATCAACAATTAGGGGACAGGCAAAGAGAACAGCAGCCTGGAAGGAAAGACTGGCCAAACAATAAGAGATGATTCAAGAACGCAATGTCGAGGAGACCAAGAGAAAGTCTGATTTAAGGGGGGAGTAGTTAGTGGGGATAAAAGTATCAAAGAACTTAGCAATAAGAAGGTTAGCATTGATTGGACAGTGGGGGGAGGGGCTGTGGAAGCCCAGGGACAGGAAACTGATAAAGTTGCAGTAGCTGATAAAGTGACCACAGTGAGAGGAGAGGTCACTCTCACGCCCTGCAACTGTGAAGGGTTTCTTGCTGGAGGAAAAGTTTGAGTCAGCCAGGGAAGATGCAATCTTCTTTTCTCTGGAGACACCGTGATTCTTACTCTCAGCCCATCTCCCCCAAGTGCCTTCATTTTCTTCTTCTGTTCATTTCTCCTCCTGTATCTTAAAACTCCACACTCCTGAATCACACTAGAGTAGAATGTGCTCTGTACTTGAAGCCCAGCATACCTAGTTTGACTTCCCACCCACTCACTTTCTAGCTGTATAACCATTACTCTTTAAGGGTTGGCTTCCTCACCTTGAAAAGGAGGCTGGTAAGGATAGTCCCTTAGGATTATTTTGAGTTGTAAATGAAAGAATGTATTCACTATGCATAGCAGGTGGTCAATCAAATGCTACTTTCCTCTAACTTCGAGACCTATTCAAATTTCTTTATTTCCTTGTCCTTTTATGCCTAACGTCCTAAATCACTGGACACACTGTTGTCATTTCTATCTCATCTTCCTCTTCTTAATGCCCAGCAATAGCTGCCCTGCCCCATCCCCACCACCACAGAGACCCTGAATTATACATAAGTAGGCTAAGGTCATTTGTTACTGTTCAGCAGCTGATTCTCCTCTCTTTTCTCATCTGATCTTCACGTCTTGCCTTTGGACCTCCACTCCTTCCCTGACTTCCGTGGCCCTGAGGACTTACGGTTTTCCATTTCCTGACTGCTCAGCCCACTATCAGTTCATCTTCACCTGACTGTGGACCCCCCACTGGAGCCCCACCATGGTCCTCAGCTACCTCTGTCTATAATTGCCCAAGAACTCACCCATCCTGGTTACTTGAGTTAATATACAAAAGATCTTCACAGAGTGCCTACCACAGAGTAAATGCAGTACAGGTTGGCTATAGCTCCTTGTTAAATACACAAGCATTTGTGGCTTGAGGTGGAAGTGAAGGTGGGGGTGGAGGTGGAGGTGGGCTGATAGAGGAAGCATGCTTTCCCAGAGTCCTTAGGCAGGTTTGGCCAAAGCTGGGGGACTTGCAGTAAGGGATAGTAGGCGTGGCTGATGAGGTCAGACAGACAAGGACCCTGATGTCAATTTTACTAGAAGAATTTTCCTTGTGGGAGTTCAAAGGCCCAGAAACAGTGGCCAAACAGAGGACTCAGAACATCACCTAGTAGCAATCAGGGAAGCTGCTGGCATGGCAGGTCTACCAGTTCTCCTTCCAATGAGGTGCTGCTGCCCTTTACGTAGGGACTGCTCTGCACAAAATGCCACCACTAATATGCCTTGTAAAGATGATGCACACTGCACCAACCTTGATTCTCCAGAACATTATCTGTTCTTTAGCAGTTTACCACAATGTCACGGCAGCTGGTTGACTAATTGCACATCGCTTGCTGCTCTTCTAGGTATGTCCATGTTAGTGTGTCTGCCTCAGTCTTGAGGTTCAGAGTGCAGATCACAAGCCCAGATCTGAGAACTGAAGGTGAGCACATCTGTGGGTTCACAGTCCCAGTCAGTGCTGACGGTGAGGGAGGACTTTGCGACAAGTTCTCCTGTCAATGCATCAAAAATATATTTTTTTCTAAGTAAAAAGGAAAATAACATCTGTGAGGTTCAGGACAGTTGCAGCTTTGCGATGATCATGAAAACAGTCAGCATCAATGCAAGCTATTCACCCTCCTCAGATTTCAATTGGTCCAGCAGCACATTTGGATTTATCCTTAGCTGAAGTATGGCACCTCCATCTGCTGCTGATTCTCACTGTTTCTTCTTTGTTGTTTTATTACCAGTAGAGTTGCAGGAGACAAAGCCTTCATTCTTTCTTTGTCCCGAGATCACTGTCAGTACAGAAAGCTATGCACACTCTCTCTTCTCTCTCTAAGGCAATAGAAATTATGCTCTTGATTTATTTCCAAATTTCCCTTGAATTTACCTGTTCATATATTTCTCAGCTTTCTATCACATACTTAATTGGTCTGGCTGGTTTTTACAGCCACATCTAGCAGGTGATTTTTTCTTTCTTTCTTTCTTCTTTCTTTTCTTTCTTTCTTTCTTTCTTTCTTTCTTTCTTTCTTTCTTTCTTTCTTTCTTTCTTTCGTTCGTTCGTTCTTTCTTTTTAAATACAGTCTAGTGAAAGGTTGCAGTGTAGTGTAGTCAAATATATTTTGTGTTGGCAGGAAGGAACCATCACAATG